CAAAGAGATGCTTTAATTTGAATGTTGCCAAGGTAAACAAGAGATTCTCTTTTCTTACCACCCCCCACAGGTTTTGCAAAAAGGAAGACTATTCAAATTTACATTATGAAGTGATTTTCTTTTTGTTTTGTTAAAGGGAATACAGGACTATCAAAAGGTGCATTTTAAAGTATATATTTGCTTGAAAATTTATTTCAATCAATTCAAAGCCCCTTCTATATACTAAAATGTAAGCATACAAATATGAGATACGTGAAAAACAAAAGGATGAGCCTTCTGGGCTCCATGCTCATCTGCATATTTTCCGGGTGAAATTCCAGAAGGCAGCTCCCATGGGTGTGCTGTGGGTTGAACAATCCCAGAGCATAGGCAGTGTTGGGGTATGTGTAGAGATCCCTTCCATCCATGCTAGACAGCCCTCATTAAACACAGAGGGCATTAGTAAAGACCCCAGAAAAGTAACTCTATAGTGTAAAGGCCAAGCCAGCCTCAGAGTAAAGGCTGCTCTATTTCTACCCGACTAAGCTTTAGACCTCTGAAGGATCAGCTGCTCTACACGTAATGCAGTGCCCAGGGTCAAACAGGCACAGGATGTTCTCACAGGCACATCCTGTGTTCTAAAGGAAGACAACACAATCCTGACACTCCAGTTAACATTCCTAATGTCTGGCATATCATTAAAATTACTAGCGATGTGAAAAAGCTGCAAATCAGTTGGTAGGAATTGACCTAGAAATGAGAAAGGTAATGGAATTAGCAAATACTCTAAGCAGTGATTTTTACATATTATATATTACAAATATTTTCAAAGATGTAAAGGAAAATATAAACAGTAGCAAGAAACAATATGGGTAACTAAAAAATGAACAAATAGAATTTATAAAGCCAAAGAATAGGGTATCTGAAAAAATTTCACTAGATTGCCTTGACATAAGAGTGGACTCTGTAAGATTAATAAACATGAAGGCATGACAATAGAAATGATCAAATTTAAGCACAGAGACATAAGATTAAAATTACCAGAGCCTCAGTGGCCTGTGGGATAATAACAAGCAGTCTCAGTATAATTGGAATCCGAAAATGAGAGAAGAGAAAGATGGCTAAAAAAAATCTTTGCAGAAATGTGACCAAACATTTTCTGAATTTGATGAAAACTCTAAACCCACATGTACTAAAATCATCATATCTCAAGCATGATAAAGCAGACCACATCAAGACACATCGTAATCAAATTCCAGAAAACCCGTGTTAGGAAAAAAAGTCCCAGAGGAAAATACACATCAGACATAGGACAAAAGATGAGACTGTCTTGTTAGAAACAGTGTAAACCAGAAGGTAGTGTAATGAAATCCTTTAAATTGCTGGCACAAAAAAAGGGAAAGAAAAAGAATACAAAAACAAAAACAACACCTCAAAACCAGCAGCTGTTAACCTAAAATACTCCATTCAGCAAAAATATCTCTCAGAAATGAAAGGAAAAGAAAGTATTTGTGGACCAAATAAATGCTGTTATACTAGAAGATTCGGTGCTTTTATTTTTTTAAACGCTTAGGATATTATCTGTTCAGTCATGTTTGTGGAGTCTGTTATTCGCTTTTTAGAATTTTTTATACAAATTTATTGATTCTGTTATTTGTGAAGATACTTCTGATTCTTGTCAGTAGACTAGGCTCAAATACGATAGCCTACACTTTGTGGTTATTATATTGCAATTTTGAGAAGATTGTTTTTATTCGTCCTGGCACTTGGTTTCTGGGTCTTGCTGAACTGATTTGATTTATTATAGGATATAGGGATGTTTCTCTGTATGACTTTGAAGTACCCTTTAACATTTATGCTTGGGCAGTGGACAATTAGAATAATTCTCTCTATACCAGTACTTAGAATCCTTCAGAATTACTTTTCAGATGCTGAAGATATAAATGAATGTTTCTTTGAATTCTTATCCGGAAAGGTAGCGTGGTTGTTTGGTGACACTTGGAGTCACAAACTCCACCAGCATTTGTGCTGAAAATACCTTTGATGTTTTGTTCTGTGTGCACAGTGTTTAGAGAAGCATCCGAGAGGAAAGTTGTTGGACTGATGCAGTTAAATGTCAAGCATCCACTGCGCTAGATGATGTATTTAAGGATTCAGTCCTTGACAGGTTGACTCAGGAGTTGTCATTTGTTCTAACCCTCACTAGTTCACAAGGAGACAGCTCAACCTGTCATCATAGGATTTCTTCTTACTACAAAGGAATTTGACGTTTGGAACATTCACTGTTGATGGCAGAATTACAGTGGTACTGTAGGAGGGCCGTTGCATTTTGGATGTTTCACTGCTTGCTGAAATACTCACCCATTGAAGTAGTACTTTGTTTAAAAGCAAACAGTTTTAAATATTTTATGTTAAATTTAGAGCTTAATCATGAGATTAAAACTCAAAAAATAAAGGTAAAATTTTCTCTTTACCTAAACTCCTGAATTTAGCAAGATGTTATGTTAGTTAGGTCAAACAGTGTAGGGGCTTGATTTTTCTCAGGAAGATTAGTTGAGTGATACAATTTCATTTAGATAAATATACCGAGCAATAGGATGCTTTCAAGCTAAAGATAATATAAGGTAAACGAAAAGGCAAAAGCATGTCAGGAATATTAGAGTGGCAGAATTCTTCAAAAAGAAAATTACAAAACCTGGAGGTCAGGTCTGCTATAGTGATGTGGGAAAATAAAAACAATATATAAAGAAAGTGAGAGATGGAGACTGTGGACATTACTAAAGTACCTGTAGTTACTGCCAGTTCAGAAGATGTGGATGTAAGCGTGGTGAAGAGCCAGTAACTTTTGTCTTCTTAGGGGAGCATTTCAAGAAAAGAAACCAAAGGAAAAAAGGCCTTTTATTTTCTGTTTAAATTAAATTCGGGCCCATCTGTTATCAGGGAAGTAAAAGACTACCCTCCCCCTGAAAAAGAACAACAACAACAAACCACAGCAACTCAGAGTTTGTGCAGTTCATGCCTTTCTCTTTGTTTGAATCCAAAGTAGCCCTCTTACAGTTTGAAATGGAGATTAAATCGTTTTACTTTGGTGTAAATATACTTAAATATGTCAGTGAATATACTTAAATAAATCCATTTTTATATCTAGTGTTAGGACTTTAAAACGATTATGTACCTACTAAATGTCAGATGCTCTGCTAATGACGACAGATACTGAAATGCTTTCCTTGGTCGCCTGCGTGTGTTTGGATCTAGTAGCTGAAATATTCTCAGACACGGAGCTGATGGTATAATGCAGGGCAGGGGGGCCTCCTCAGGATAAGAGGGGCACCCGTTACCACTAAGCGTTGGAGGGCTATCAGGGAGAGTTTCAAGGAGGATCACCTGGAGTAAACCTTGGGGAAGATTTGGAGTGGCCCGTCAGAGAGCAGGAAATATTTATTATCAAGATAAGGCAGTGAGATTGTTTAGTGTGCCTTGAGTGTAGGGCAATGGCAAAGTTGAAGGGGAATTATGGGCCAGACCACGAAGGCCTTTTAATCTTGAAAATTCCAGAGCTATAGGCGAACAGTGACCAAGAAGTGACATCATTAGCTTGGCATTTCAGAAAGATCATTCTGGCAACCCCAAGGAGCAGGGGCCAGGAAGGTGGATCACTGGGAAAGGAGTTCCCTGCAGAGGGTTGTATTGGTTCAGGAGTAATAAAGACCTGAAATACGGCTGCATTGGAACAAAGGGGGCAAAGCGAGTGTGTCAGGGAACCGGAACCAACAGCGTTTTGTGACTGAATTCATGTGGCAGTGACAGGTGGGGGCGGGGACTAAATCTACAGTTAATCCTAAGTTTCTGGTGGGATAAATGGAGAATTGTAGCACCAGTTTGTCGTGAGGAGGTAGAATCGATTGAGATGCTTGTGGCACATTCTGGTGAAGGTGTCCAAAAATCGATATCACTTAGTATTACGGTTTATTACTTAGTTCTTAATACACATTTGCCCAGTGCTGAGGCAGGAGCTATTCCCTTCATTGGGCTAGTGATGAACCTGAGGCCCAAAGAAGGTTGACACCTTCTCCCAGGTCACAAAGGAAGTAAGTGCAGAGCTAAAATTTGAGTTCTACAAGTGATTGGATTCCCCACTCAGCTGTTTTAAGCTTTTAAATATATATATATTTATATATTTTAAATATATAAATATATATATTGATTTCAAAGAGGGAGAGGGAGAGAGAGATAGAAACATCAATGATGAGAAAGAATCATGGATTGGCTGCCTCCTGCACGCCCTCTACTGGGGATCAAGCCCACAACACCAGCATGTGCCGTGACTGGGAATCAAACCCTGACCTCTTGGTTCATACGTCAACGCTCAACCACTGAGCAACACCAGCCAGGCTGTTTTAAGCTTTTGCTTTTTTGATTACGTAGAGATCTGGTTTGTAAGACAAAATTATAGCCTGGAGATAGGGACTTGGGAGTTAACCAGTTTACATACGGGGATTGAAACCACTGCCCCAGGAGAGGCCTTGGAGTTCATGTGAGTTCACCGAGGTTACAGCTTCATTCTCAAAAGGAGTAGGTGGGCTTGGAAAAGAAACTGACCAAAAAGATAGGAGGAACAGCCAGAAAGAATTGTGCTACAAAGCCAAATTGGGTGGACTTTTTTTCCCCCCTCTCTTTTGTTTTTATAAAGAAATGAAATCATAAACAGTTCTAAAATCTTGAAAAATACAGCCACATATACCCAATAGAAGTCACTAGTGATGCTTACCAGAACAGTTTCAGTTCATTTATTCAGAAAGAGAATGACAGGGGCTGGGGAATGAAAGGAGGTGAGATCACAAATCCAGAGAACTGCCTCCCCTCTGTGCAGGAAAAAGAGGCATTTGGGGTGAGAGATGGAGGGTTTTTCTTCTCATGGGTGAGCCAAGATCACCTGTGTATGGATTTAAAGGATCATCTGTCTAGATGTAAGAATTTTTTTAAGCAAAACTATAATGTGAAATGCTCTTTAAACTTCACAGAACATTGTACATCCACGGGCACACCAAGTTGGATTTCACAGTCTGGCATGCTGCAATTGAGAAAGCAGCAGGTACAGATGGAAATGCTTTGCAGGATCAGCAGCTCAGCCAAAACGATGTTCCCATCATCGTGAACAGCTGTATAGCATTTGTTACGCAGTATGGTACGTATCACTGTGTTTTCATTCAACCCCCAGACTCATGGTATCACTCTTACAGTTTTTAAATAGTACCCATTGGACTGAATGAGAGCCTTTTATATGTGTTAAGTATATCAGTGAAAATATAAATGTAGTCCCTGTTCAGTTAAATGCCATTCCTTTGCCCAGTAAAACGCATTCAAATGATATAACATACTTTAACTATTTTCTGCTTCCTTTACGTGCATAGACATTTAAATAACATATTGAAAGAATATATGTTGTGAAATGTATATTAAAAATAGGTTAAAGGCTGTTTTTCAGATGTTACAAGCCCACGGTGAAACCTAGGGGAATGCAGTGTGCTGCCTTGGCATGTTTTTAGAAGTGGTGAATGCTGGGACAGTATGGGAAAGAATTTTTTAGCAGGCATACAAGTGTGTATGTATTTATTTTAGTTACCGTACTATTGGTCACATGGATATTGATTGTAACAGTTTTGACTTAATTATAACATTTTCTTTGAATAGTGTACAAGTTAAAAAAAAAACCCAAACAGCTCGATACCTACATGGTTCAGTTTTATTGATGTGCTAAGGTAGTATTTTTAGATATGCCCAAAGAATATAAGTATACCTTTATTCTTCATGTTCAATTTCAAATTACTATGTATTCTTCAAAGTCCTTCTTTCTGTTACATATTTCCTTAATACTGTAGAAGATAGAAAAGTCTTAACTACTTTTTTAATATAAAAATATTTCTACTTTTAATTTGCAGATAAATGCCATTGAGTTACATTGTAAAGGTAGAAAAGGGTAAAATGATTGATCTGGTATTTCGGAAGGTGTAGTAACTTTATTTGTTCTCCTAAAATTAGAAATGCGTTTGGGAGTTTTTAATTTGAAAGAGATTATCTCAGTGAGAGAGCTGCAGTGAAACACTGTGTTACTGGTTCCTTATGTCTTCACTGGGTGTCTGTTGTGTGCCAGCCGCTGACCTTGGTCCTGGAAATGCAACCATAGGAGTAGGAAGTTAAAGACAAATCCATGAATCATGTGTTTCTGCATGAGAACTGACAATAAATTGATATGTACCAAAATACCAGAAATAACAAAAAGAAGAAAAGAATTTCTGAAAATTTGTAACATGTGTATATTAATCTACTTTCTTCTAAGAAGAGCACTATCTTACGTGGTTTAACTTATTTCATATGTAATCCAAGAACAGTTATCATTAATATTCAGATTTGTTGTGTGTTTAAATTATATGTCTAATGTGACTATGTATTTAATCACTTTATGTGGGCATTACTGTGAAGTTTCTTCCCATGGTAATATGTGTATGTATCTTATCAGCTGTAATCATCTGTTTAGTTGGAAATGGGGGAGAAAGGCGGTCATCATCTTCATTTTATTCGTTGTTCAGTATTAGTGCACTTGCATTCTGCAGGTGTGAATGAATTGCACACGTTATGTTTTGTCATGAGCATAACCTCACTGGGAATTTTTACATCGTGTTAGTTTCATAATGGCACAGAGTCTCTCGTAAGCTGACAAATGATTAAAATAACTCGACTACCTCCAGTGAATACAATTTCATGTTTCTCTAGGGAAATCAGAAGCTACTTTGTGATGTTTGTTTGAGTTTAAAATCATTAAGCATTAGATTGTTTTCAACTAAATTTCATACATTATGTCTACTTTGTAACACTAACACAAGGTACATTAACTTGCATATTACAGTAATAGAACCAGCGAAAGACTCTATTTTTTTAATGTTTTTAATGAGCAGAACATGGGGAAAACCCCAATCTTATTAGAAAATGTCCAGTGATTTTAGGCTGTAGGTGGTCAGCCCAGAGCCTTTTAAGTCACACTTATTTTGAACTTTCTGACTTTTGGGTTAAAATTAAAGGGCCACTTTGTGTGTGTGTGTGTGTGTGTGTGTGTGTGTGTGTGTGTGTGTTCATTGTGTCAATATTTGAACTTGAAAGAGTTCACAGTATAACTTTTAGAATTTTAATTTTTTTAAATGAGTTGCAATAGTTAGTTCTTGGGGGAAATTAATTTATGTAATTCACATTCAGTTAACTTATTTGATTACCAGCTATTAGAAATTCACTTAACTAGGAACACAGTATCTCAGAAACATAGTCATTATTGTTTTTTTTTGTAGAATTTGCTTATTCTTGCATTAAGGGGTTACTTATTGAATACCTGCTGAGTTCTTCTAGGCACTAGGTAACTACTTTCTACAGAAATAAACAGGACTCTTGCCATCTAGGACTTTACAGATGTGTGGATCAGAGACAAACAAGTGGGCAGTTACATCCCAAGTGTATAAACTTCTGTGGCAGAGAGGCTCTGGGGTTGGTACAGGAGTAAACCGCACCCAGAGTAGGGGGGTCATGGAGGGCTGCATGGGTGAGGCGGTGCCTACCCTGAGTCTTAAGAGAAAATAGGAGCTTATTAGAAGGTAGAGGAGGAAACAGTGTGTGCCCATGTGTGGAGTCATGAGGGGCATTGTCTGTTCAGGGAACTCTGTGTAGTTAACTGTGCCCAGAACTTGGTGTGAGAAGAGGGGAAAGATAAAAGAGGCAGAAGGGTAAGGAAAATTCACGTAGGGACTTATATGTTGTAATTAAATCCTCACACTAGCCTTGTTGGCCGTGAGAGGGCATTATGCAGATTTTTAGTCATGTGGTGACACTGGTGGACCTGCATCTTAGATCATACTGGCATTGTCGAGACAGACGGGCTGCACAAGAATACGGGCAGGGAGTTGTAAAAATCTAGTAAGGAACTGAGTGGACAGAATAGCAGCCTGGAGGATGGGAAGAAGGGAGGTCATAATGAAAAATCTGTGTGACATAGTTGTTCATTTGTTTTTGGTTTTCTAAATCTGGAATGTGAGAAAGAAAGGTTCTGAGTTGGAAAGGATTGGGGAGAAGGCGATGCCATATATCAAGATAGAGGAACAAATAAAGAACAGGTAGAGGTTGGGAGGTGAAGTAGTGAATGGAGCTGGGAAATTAATTTCTTTGTTTTGATTGGTCCATATGTGTAAGTATGGTATGTGTGTGTATGTGAGTGTGTGTTACATGTATATGGTATATGTTTCTTAAAATGTATTTGTGTGTGTTTGAGACTTAGAAATTAAAACCTGGGTGAAAAAGTATATGTAAGTGGTTAAAGTAACGAGGTTAGGTAGGTTTACCCAGATAATTCTGTGGGGAGTGGGGAGTGAAGAGCATTGAGTTTGGATTCCGGGAATCACCAGTAAATACTAGAGCAGAAATAAATGGAAAGGTGGAAGAGTAGCCATAGAGGAAGAGCTGGGGAATATGGTATCATTATGCCATGAAGGCCATGAAGTTAACATAATTCTAATGCATTCATTTGGACTGTCAAACACTGCAGGGGATTCTCATTAGATAAAAACCAAATAGCATCTAAAAAATAGGTTGTCATTGATATTCTTGATGAAGATCGTCCTAATAGAGTGGGAATTGGGGCCCTTGATGAATCACTAACTTTGTAAAAAAGAAGACCAAACTCTTCATCTAGAACAGTGGTTCTCAACCTGTGGGTCGCGACCATTGGAAAACACATATAGCATATCAGATATTTACATTACGATTCATAACAGTAGCAAAATTACAGTTATGAAGTAGCAACAAAAATAATTTTATGGTTGGGGGTCACCACAACATGAGGAACTGTATTAAAGGGTCGCGGCATTAGGAAGGTTGAGAACCACTGATCTAGAAGAAGGTGAAGGTGGGAACAGGCAGACATTAATATGCAAATTAATGGGCAGAGGATTGAGGAAATTTATAAGGGGGAGCCTCACTTTTGTCAGTGGAACTGGAGGCAAGTTTATATCCCAGGGACTAAGCGAAGATAGAGCACTGGCTATAAAGGAACAATTTAAAAAGATACTATGAACAGCTGGGCAAAGGGCTGACCAGAGTCTTGTTAAAAAGCCAAGGATGGACTATTTCATCAGGTTTACCCTGTAAATACTAAAATTAGGGGGACAAGCCTTCCCCCCCTCAGACATGTTTATATCAACTCAGGTAACGATTTCTTCTTGCTCATCATCCCAGCACAAACATATGTTCAAATTTTTAAGGTATCAAAGTGGATTTTGATTTTAGACTTTTTTCCATATAATCTTTTTTCCTTTTAAACAAAGGTTTAGGGTGCAAATATATCTATCAAAACAGTGGTGATCCTTTGCACGTAAGTGAACTCCTGGAGAGTTTCAAAAAAGATGCCAGAAGCTTTAAATTGAGGGCTGGAAAGCATCAGCTTCAAGACGTGACGGGCGTGCTGAAAAGGTTTCTGTCCGACATCGACGATGCGCTTCTCACTAAGGAGCTCTATCCATACTGGATCTCTGCTTTAGGTAATACACGTCATGTATATAATCATAAAGGCTTGTCTTTTAGCTGGCTAGCTAGGTTTTTAAACTCTTCTTTGATGATCTGAAGTTTTAATTGGAGGCGAAAATGTACATATGACTCAGAAGAAAAATTGTGTAAATATCAGCAGTTGTTTACATTTACCTAAAAAGAAATTTATACTAATAATTGCTAAGTAATGTTTTATATACTTAGTTTTCTGTGGGTTTCTTAGTTCTTACTCTACTTGAAGTTGGGAAGTGTTATAAGCAAGTCCATGTTTGCTATTAATTTCTCATTAAGGTTAAAATGAAAGTTTCAATACAAGGTTGGTTTTCTAAGATTTTATGGCTCTTGTGGCTTTTCTGTGTCATTTATTCTTCCTCTTTGGAGTACATAATGACAGTTTTTTTACTCTATTATTTTCTCTAGATTCTGTTTAATGAAGTTAAAAAGCTTTGCTACAGTGTAAGAGAACCTGTTTAAGAAATTACTCTAGAAAAGTAGTTCATTAAATGACTAATTGGGCCAAAATGATTTCAGTAAATCTGTATTTAAATCGAGTAATTCAAAACAACTCCTTTTATAGGAACATTATAACAATACTTTCAAATATAGTGTCTTTAATCCCATCTTTCTACTAGAACTAATTTTACATTTTATTTTATCGT